ATGGTATGGAGGCTCTCCTGCCTATTGAGGTCCAGATCCCTTCTCTGAGAATCATGAAGGATGTGGGTTTGAATGAAGATGATTGGATCCAGACTCAACTTGATCAACTGAATTTAATTGACGAGAAAAGGCTTACTGTTGTTTGTCATGGTCAAATGTATCAGAAACGAATGATCAAGTCTTTCTACAAAAAGGTCAGACGCCAAGTATATCAAGTCGGGGATCTAGTGATCAAGTGCATCATACTGCCGCAAGGTGATCCCAGGGGCAAATGGACTCCCACTTCCAAAGGGCCATTTGTGATCAAAAGCATATTTTTAAGAGGAGCCATGATTTTGACCACCATGGATGGTGATGAGCTTCCTCACCCTGTTAATGCGGACATAGTGAAAAAATACTACGCATGAATAAAGACCTGCTAGGTGATTGGCCTAGGAAAAAATAAGGGTATCCCGACGAACCAAAAGGGTTCGAGAAAAAATTAGGGATGAAAACAAAAAATGTCTATACACCCGGCAAGTCCAAAAACCTAAAAAGGTAGCTCGGGCAAAAAAGGGTATCCCGGTGGACTGAAAATCCGAAAGGGCGGTCCAGGAAAAAGTTAGGGATTTGAAGTGTATCACTATGTCCCATTGGATCACCTCGCGACCAGACTTCAGTATCAACTATCAAGCTCAAACGGCACCGATCAATCCAGTCAGCTTCGGACAAGTAGCAAAGTAATGAGACGCTCGAAGACATATCGGCAATAGCATAATTAAAACTCATTGGGATTATTACACATAGCTGTTTTCTTCTCTTTGTACACTACTTTGTATAGTCTTCATTCTCACGACAGTGTTATCCTACTAGAACGTCAGCCTCTTTCTACACAACGCCTATTATAGGAAAACTTCATAAATCAATACAAATCGTTTCTTTGGAAATACAAAACTATTTTCTTTTCTTTTTCTCTTTCCTGTTTTATTCGCAAAAATGTCCAATGACTTATTCTTGACATATGAATTTGAATACGATTTCTATTCACAAATATTTGTATAAGAAACTGAAGGAAATTTTCTCATGACTTAGGGAACGGGGAAAAGTCTATAAAACCATTTCAATCCCGACAACTTACTCCTTCCAGCATGTATAGGGGCAGAGACAGTTTTGAGACAAAGTCACCGTTACATATGACCTCGTGACGTCTATGTTCCCCATGGAAAAGAGGCAACCAATGTTTTGATCTATTCTTCCCCAAACAGGAGTTACTTTCCCCAGCAAAGTTCCTTCAGAGAGCCGATATTTATATTCCCCAGTCGAGTTTTATAATCACAAACAGTTTATAAAGCTTTCTCCCGAGCAGAGTTTATTTCTCTGACTGCGGAACCTCCTCCCGAGCAGAGTTTATTTCTTTGAATGTAGAAGCTCAATCCCCCAATAGAGTTTATTCCTCCAACTACGAAAGTTCATCCCCCAGCGAAGTTTATTTCGAATCGGAAAAATCTTCCACCAAAGCATCTCTTCTCTCAAACAGAGTTATTCCCCTGTAGAGTTATTCTCAGGCAGAGCCTCTCCCCGGCAGAGTATTCGCAAATAGAAAGGATTAAATCCCCATCATAGTCATTTCCATTCACCATCCCCAATGGAAATGAAGAATTCAGCTTCCCAATACTCTTCAGCAGCAGTCCGGGATTTATTTTCCCCGACTAAGAAATACTATAATAGCATCCTATATTCATACATCATGGCATGCACATACATATTGCATACAACACAATCTCATTTATTTTGAGAACATCATCACAATATATTTCATACATCCACTACAAGAAAATTGGCAGATTGCGACAGGTATTTTTGTAGATCACGACGGTTAAAACCGTCGCAATTTGCTTTCCACGACGGTTGCTTTACCGTCGCAGAAGTGTGTGTCCCCAACCTATTTCGCGACGGTTACAAAAACGGTCGTTCAAGTTTACGACGGGTTGATACCGTCGTGACTATCTTTTGAGTTTCTTTTAATTATTGATGGCGACGGTTCGATACTGTCGTGAATATCTTTTGAAATTGATTAAATTGTTTATGGCGACGGTTCGATACCGTCATGACTTTTGTTGATTACGACGGTTCGGTACTGTCGCCATGACTTTTGTTTATGTCTTGATTTTTTTTTATTTTTCTATTATATATATTTTTTATTTAAATTATTATCTATGTAAAAAATTTTAAATATAGTTTTTTTTTGTGTTATTTTTTTCTTTAAATTATTTATTCTTTAATATATTTATTTATAGTATTATTTTTTGTTTTATTTTCTATCACTTTGTAATATAGTAAAAATAATTTCAATAAAAAATATTTAACATCAAATAAGCATTATAATATCCAAAAAAATGTGTGTTCCATAATCATGTAAAATGCGAGTTCCATAATCATGTCAAGTAGTACAAAAAACCCAAAATATATCAATTTCTAATTTTATAATAATAAGTATCATTATGCCAAAAATACATGAGAATGTTCACAATCTAATTATCTCAATCATAGCAAAGTCTAATTTGTCCCCCCTGAAGTTCCATTATCTCCAATACGGTAGCTAGACTCAGATGAACGTCTGCCATCAGCGGGTGATTCCAATCCCTAAAAAAAGGTATTAAAATAATTATCTTTAAAATAATACTCATAAAATAGAATTAGAACAATAACAAAGTTAGGTAATAGAACTATTCAAGGAAGATTGCTCAAACTTCATGAAGAAGCTACCACATAAAAAGTATATCTAAAAAGGCTTGTTGCGACTCAAAATAAACAAATTGGTTCAAGGATTTGATGCAATTGTACACATCATCACCCCATCCTAACTGTTATCATATGACTTCGATAAATATAGACAGACTAAAGTTAGGAAACAGAGATGTGTACCTTCAGAGCATAAGCTTGTGATTTCTCAGAAACAGGGCACAAAATTGCTTGACGAGGACTGAGCCAGAAGGGCCATTTACCCTTGTAGTGCTCTAAAAGTATGGCAAACATGCGTTCAACTGATCCTAGAATGGCTCTGTGTATCATAACAGGCCTCTCAATTTTGGCTTCATCCTCAGCTGAGAATTCCAACTTAAAACGATCAGGAAGCTGGAAGTCAAGCTGCAAGGAGCCAATTTATCCAATTATCAGTAAAAATAATTAACAACTGAACCATGTGAATGCAAGTCAAGCCAAAGAGTGTAAACCTGTAGAGTTGCACACTGGAATTTCCTACTCAATGCATCAGATACACTGATATCTATCTTTGGTCCATAGAATGCACCATCCCCTTCATTCAACTGCAGAGTTTTATTTGGATTATAAGCACATAATTGAAGTTAAAAAATGATGCATTACATTGAAAATAATAAAACAGATATACAAAAAATAAAAGAATGTATGAGAATATAAAAAATAGTATCAAGAAACATATAATTGAATTCAAAACATGAAAAGCATATACCTGCCATGGCTTGCCAAACTCATCCAAAGCCTCCTTGAGAGCACTTTCAGCCCTATCCCACGTTTCATCATCTCCAAGCTTATTCTCTGGCCTCTACTCAAGTATTTAACACAGGCAAGGCAAAATAAATAACTGAGTCATTAAATAGATTAAACCAATTACTAACAGCAGAGTCTACCAAGCTTATCATGTACTACTATATCATGTATCAGAAGAAAAGAAAATAACAAGAAAGCTAGTTCTTTGTATTGAGGCCATATTCCCAATTATTAACTGTTCCTACTAATGTTATTTATTCACAAACTTCATCATATTTCAAACCATAGAGAAGTGTTCCTACTAATGTTATTTATTAAACATATAAACAAAACATGTACCATAGGAAGAGAAAGACTGGTAAGATACGATCAAAATGATCTATATCAGATGACACTCTTAGAAGGAATAATTGCAACAAAGAAACAAATAATGAAATTATCAAATCAGAATTAACTTACATTGCAGACAAAACATATAGCGGCAGTTGTTTCCAAACTATTAAACAGATTTATCAGCATCTCTTTTGGAAGCCTTTTTGCCATTTCAACATAATCTTTTCCAACAGGATCAGAATTGTATTCTTTAACAAGAAGTGGGTGGTCACAAGCCTGACGGAGATGTAAAAGCATCAAATTTGAATCAATTTGTTGCTGTTGTGGTGGTGCTACACGCGGAGGCATTTTGGATCAATGAGGAAAAAGCAAGAACCAAAGATAGAATCAAAGATGAAGAAGAAGAATATGCAAATCAAGGTGAAGATCAAAACGAAGAAGATAATTCTGCAACTCAATGTGAAGAACTAAAGAAGATGAAGATGATGATGAAAGAAGGAAAGAATGAGAATCTACGAGAGTTCAATGATTTTCTGATACCATATTGAAAGATCAAGATGAACATGATAGAGCAATTGATTCTCATTGATGAATATCAAATACACTGTGCTATTTATACTTGTGTGGTAACTTCCATCATGAGCTATAGTGTTCTAGCTACAGTATATTGTTGCTTAAGTTCTAAGTAACTATCTTAATGTAACTACTTTGTAATTACTCCTAACTGAAAACAGAAGTTAGTTAAGGTGTTAATCTATTTATTGTGTCAACTTATTCCACATGACAAGGAAAATAATATAAAATGGAAAAATGATCTTAAAAAGTAATACCTTTTCCTTATTTAAATTGCAACATGAGAAAAGTAAACTATATATATATATAAAAACAACAGTGCTTTTTGAGTGACTATCCTCAAAAGGTTATCAAGAAATAATTGGCATGAAAGTATCCATTCAACTAAATGCTTCCAATCTTCATACTTTGAGTGAAAATCCTCCATATGTGATGTTGCATAAACTCTTCAATAAAACAATCCTATTTGATCCAACAGTTATATCGCAATCAAGAGTCCACTATAGTGTATATAAAATCAAGTGTATACTTTACATATAATATTTTGTATTTCTAACCTTGTCTGATTCCATATGTGGAGGCAGTTCCTAGGATTTTCTGAATGAAGGTGATGGTGATGCAGGAGGCTTCAAGTCCTCATACCTGAAAAGTTCATTTGCATAATATCATAATCTTACTATAGTCACTATGATCAAATAGTGACTGCAGGTAGATCTCAATGAAAAATCTGAGTCCCTTCTTTCTTTCTTCTATATTAAGGAATCGAGAATCTTTTGGAGAATAAATAAGAAAAATCGAAGGCGAGATGGAATCAGAATCAACTTACATTGCATAAGGTGAAAGTGGTATTGACTTTGGTTCATGAAGGGGCTGTCCATCATCCTTTGGTGTATCTTCCACAGAAAGTTGAGCTGCTCCATTGCTTGATACTACTGTATCTATCTTGGATATTGATGTAGTTGGTACACTCGGAGATGGTGAACTCGGAGGCTTTAAATCAGGATATCTATAATAAACACAAGAAAAAGTTCAAATCTAAAATGGGATGGTTGTACTAATATACATGATATCACCATAAAACTAGAGGGCGGCTTACGCTGCGTAAGGAGATAGAGACTCCTTCGCTTTTGAGGAAGATGTTGTCTGAGAAATGCCATCTATTTCTTGAATGCTACCTGGAGTATCCGAAGAAATAGGTGTTGGAACTGCATCACTGATGTTTATCTGTTTCTTCTCACTAGGCTTAGTTGGAGAAGGAGATGATGGTGGCTTTAAATCATCATAACTGAAAATGTATATACCAAATCAGTTATTTTGCATCTGGTCCGCATTAAAATATTTACTGTCAACAAAAATTAGCAACTTGGCTTACGCGGTATAAGGAGAAAGTGGCTGTTCCGTTTTCGCCACTGGTTTTGGTTGTTCTGTTTCTATTTCAGGGGCAATACTGAGTACTTCTGCTACAACATTATCAGGGGGGCCTGGATTACTGACAGTTGCCGTATCTGGTTTCTGTATCGTCCAAATAAAACAACTAATCAATTGACAAGCCTGGTTTGTACTAATATACATCGTAAAATGTATTATATAAGGCGGTACTTACCTTAGGCGGAGAAACGTAAGGGCGTTGAGAAGGTATCGTGGTAAGAAGTTTTTCGGCAGGTGTCAATGGCGCATTTGTCTCGGCAATGACCTCTACTATTTTACAATAAGAAAGATCGGGATTCTTGGCCATGGTTGCCATGAGTTCAGCAACCTGCATTGAGAGAGTTATCAACTTTCATATAACTATATATCTTAACTAGATAGTTACACATACATGATACATGAATAATGCATTTTACACGTACCTGAAGGTTTGAAACTTGACCCCCAAATAAAGTATCTTCAGCTGATAGAGTTACATTATGTTTTTCCTTGTATGCATCAGTAGGCCTCTCCATGCCACCAGGTCTCACTATCTGAAAACAGTGACATAACATAACAATGACATGATATTAAGATAATTAGGACTTTGCGATGCGCTGCGCTTCGGAGTAATTACAATGACTAATCAATCAGTTCAACTTCTTTACGATGCGAAAATGAAAATATAACTAAACTACTGCTTGAGAAAGGTTTTCAGAATTCAGACTCACTTGAGAATAGCTGCAGGAAAACCAAATTTGTTTGTTCCCAATGAAGTAACCAATATGAAGTGATTTACTTTGGCAACAGTTGCTGCACCATGACAGAATAAACAAACAAAAAATTGTTTTCAACCTTTAGGCCTAAAACAAAATATATAGCATTGAAACAAAACCATAAGGAAGGAAAGCTCTTGTTACCAGCATCAACTAGGTTTTTGGTGGCTTTGTAATCGATTCGACAAGGTCCAGTAATGTCGAAAATTTCCTTCTCACTAGCACCAATGGTACATATCACAGTGGATGCATTCCATAATGCTGATCCAATTTGATTTGGCTTCTCCAAATCACATTCCACAATTTCAAGCTTCTCTACAGCTGGGCTAAAAACCAAAAACATTCTGTTATCCAACACAGCAGCATTTTTGTTACTGTCTAAAACTTTCTTCATACAGCTTGAATACGCCATCGGATAGAGTCTGGCAGGCATTGCAGTCTAAGTGAAGCAAGAAATAAAGTAAGAAATTCAGCAATTCTCCATCAATTTGCCAACCACAATCGATCACAACACAATAACAAAAACTCGGAAATGCAACCAAGAGATTTCAAGACCGAAAAACTAAACAACATGGTTCAGGCATTTCACCGAACACTTGGTTAACAACCTACAACAACAATGATTAACAACAGAATAACGACCCCGCATAAAAAATCGAGCTTAAAAGTGAAAAAAAAGAAGAAGAAGATAACTCACGACGATTCGACATCTAAAGACAATCAATGATATGCGACTACGACCACGAATTCCCGATGCCGCGAGTCAGAACGTGCCACAACCATTGATGTTCTTCCAGCCACCCTATTCTAATTTAAAAAAGAACACATATTCATGAGCGAAGGAGAAGATTGACTCTGATACTTCCTGGAGCAGATTCGATTTCCTGAGTGAGAGAGCGACCATTGCGATGAGATTCAGAAGTTCAGACGAGAGAAGGAAGAGCCTGGGAAACTGCCCTAGCTAGTCGGGTGATGGCTTTGCCTATGCTTGATGCCCTAATTTCCAGAACCAACACGACGTCACCAAACACAAAACACACAAAAAATGGATTTCAAATTGGGAATGGCGAGAGAAGATGCTCAAATTTAAAGGGAAGCCATCGAAGCTTCTTAAGGTTCTCATCGAATTGATGTGGTTGAAGTTTGTACAGAGAAAAAGCAAAAGTATGAAGAAATTTGGAGAAAGATACGTGAACAATAAATAAAAAGAGAAATAGACGAAGCGGGGTAAAGGATTTAGGGGGACGACGGGTGTGGTTACCGTCGTGCCCTTTCATAACTTTTGCATGTTTTTTAAAGGTTTAGGGGGGCGACGGTTGTTTTACCGTCGTGATGTCTATTTTAGGACGGTTTCTTAACCGTCGCAACATTCATTTTAGGGCGGTAGGTGTATATCGTCGTGACATGGGTTCCTATATTAGAATTACGACGGTTATTAAGTAACTGTCGCAATTTTTGTGTCGTAAAATCCTAATTTTCTTGTAGTGATCATGACATTGCATACGACTAACTATTTACCTTTCAGGTAAAAGATCAAAGCAACAAGCTACGTCTAACCAAGGGCTATTCTAGGATTTTCCTCAGAAGGATATTCTCACAAGATCTTCTCTGGATCAGCCAAATCGACACTAAGATCTCTCTGATTACTATTCCAGTGGAAAAAGTTCCAAGACTTTCGTCTGGGTCAGTTGAATCGATACTAAGAGTCTGCTGGTTACTATGCCAGTCAAAATTAACCCAAGATTTTCCTTGGGTCAGGCAGGTAGACACTAAGATCTCTCTGATTAACATTCCAGTGGAAGAAGTTCCAAGACTTTCGTCTGGGTCAGTTGAATCGATACTAAGATTCTCGTGATTACTATGCCAGTCAAAGTTAACCTAAGATTTTCCCTGGGTCAGACAAGTCGACACCAAGATCTCTCTAATTACTATTCCAGTGGAAGAGGTTCCAAGACTTTCGTCTGGATCAATTGAAACGATACTAAGATTCTCCTGATTATTATGCCAGTCAAAGGTAGCCCAAGATTTTCCCTGGGTCTGACTAGTCAACACTAAGATCTCTCTGATTACTATTCCAGTAGAAGAGGTTCCAAGACTTTTGTTTGGATCAGTTGAATTGATATTAAGATTCTCCTGATTACTATAACAATCAAAGTTAGCCCAAGATTTTCCATGGGTCAGACAGGTCGACACTAAGATCTCTCTGATTATTGTTCCAGTTGAATATACTCCAAGACTTTCGTCTGGGTCAGTTGAATCGATACTAAGATTCTCCTGATTACTATGTCAGTCAAAGTTAGCCAAAGATTTTCCCTGGGTCAGACAGGTCGGCACTAAGATCTCTCTGATTATTATGCCAGTTGAAGATACTCCAAGACTTTCGTCTGGGTCAAATAAATCGATACTAAGATTCTCCTGATTACTATTCCATTCAAAGCTAATTCAAGGCCTTCCCCTGGTTTGGTCAAATCGATACTAAAATTTATATTCCTGTTAAAGAAGCTATGAAACCCGAAAATTGACCGGATAATAGTCAATCAACAATTCAAGACACTATGAAGCCTGGATCCTGACCATATAACGGTTTAATCTCATCTCCCCAGTAAGTCACTGTGAAGCCTGGAGCACGACCAAATAATAGTTAGCCTTATTATCCTCAGCAAGCCACTGTAAAGCCTGGATTCTGACCAGATAGCAGTTCACTTCCATCTCTTCAATCAAGTGATGACTCCCCAGTGGAGTAACGGACAACTGAAGCTCCTAAAACTTTATGTTCCAAGACAGAGACCAACATTCCTCAGCGGAGTCCTCTCTAACAGCAAGAGCAAGAATTCCCACAAAGGGAGATCTCATGAAATCATCATTGTTCTGGATGGCATCGTGATACGATGGAAGAACCGACTGTTATACTGGTTTACATTTTTTGTTCGCAAATGTCGCGGTAAGCAAGAGTCGCCACCGACTTTTCTTTTATCTAATAAAGGAAAGGGTGAAAAGAACAGAAAAATACCTTTTTCGATATTTTTTGAGTAAGGGGGGTAGATTATAGAAAGGGAAGGTGTTAACACCTTTTTCATCCGTGGTTTTCCATGTACTCTTAGGTACTTTCTCATTTTGAAAACTGTTTTCATGTTTGTGTGTTTTGAAAGATTTTGTTTGCTTCATGATAACTCTTGTATCAGTCCTCAAGAGTGTGATAAAGCATTTTTGAAAAGAAGTTTGAAAGTGTAAGTGTAAAAAAAGATTTGAGCAAGTACTTAAGAGTGATCTACGTACTCAAAAAACGGTGTTCTTTTCCTCCTACCCTTTAGACAGGGCTATCCTACTATTAGTGAGTAGGTAGCCCTATTGTCGAATGTTGAGGGACTATCGAAAGGGACGTTATGGTTATTGAAGGCAACATGCAAGGATACCTTAACATTTCGAAGGGACTGTTATCATATAGGAAATATCGATGGACAAGATCATTTCTCGTAGGCAACTCGTGGGACATTGAGGGACTATGATCTTTATGACGACCTTAACTGAGGGTCTTTGCTAAGGGGTATCCCTATGTTCGAGGGACATGACCATTGTTTTTTCGAAGGCAACAAGTGAGGTTACCCTAGAGGTGTGAGTGTGCAAAGGATTCAGTTCAGTTATTTATCTTGAAATTAGGTTTTTCTATCGTTCATTTTTATCTTTCCATACAATCCTATTAATCTAAGCATTGCATAAAATATTGTAGCTAAAGGTAAAAGCGAAAATGTAAACCTAGGCTATTACAGAGCTTTGAGGAAGTTACATAATAGTAAAGAGTGCGAAAAAGAAATCCTAAAACTATTATATTTTGGAAGCAATTACAAGATAATGATAAAAAAAAAGTGGGAAAAATAAAGCTACGCTATTACAGTTGAATACGCATATACACTTTATCTAGGAAAATAAAAATAAGATGAAAATAGCAAAGAAAATGTTTTGGTGATTTTTTATGAAAAAATGATTTATGATAATTAATTAAATAAACCAAAAAAACATAATTAATTTTAATTAATAAAAAATGTTAATTTTGAAAAAAAAGTTAATTAAAATACCTAAATCCTAATTAGTTCAAATTAAAAAAAGGTTAATTTTGAAAGAAAAAAAAGGTTAATTAAAAAAAACCTAAAAACCTAATTAATTTTAATTAAAAAAAGGTTAATTTTGAAGAAAAAAAAGGTAAATTAAAAAAACCTAAAACCTAATTAATTTTCATTAAAAAAATGTTTTAAAAATTTTTTATGTGAAATGATTAACAAAAAAGAATTAAGTTTGCCAAAAAATAGATAGGGGAAGAAACATCAATGAAAAATAGGGTTAGAAAATACAAATTAATTAGAAACCAAAAACAAACCATGAAAATGTCAGGGTGGATGTTGAACCTAAAATTAAATTAAAACTTAAAATTAAATTTAAAAAACATAAAATTAATTATTCGAGTTTATTATGAAAAATCAAAGGTTTGTGAAAAATGTTAGGTTTTATGAAAAAAGGTTTTAAACAGAAAGAATGAAAATAGATAAAAGGATAAATAGAAAGGAAGAAAACCATAACCAATAAGGGTGGGTGTTGAACCCACACCCTTAACCTCCTCAGGATGTCTTCCTTGCCATGAGCCATGCATTGGTTGTTGTCATGTTTTGGCCTCAGCGTTTTTTAATAAACTTGCATGAGACCATGTCTAAATCTGCAGCATTGAATCTCATGAACACATTAAATAAATTAATCTATCATGAAATACAAAGAAAGTAAATATATGAAATTTTGTAATGTTAAAACCGATATGACATGTATGAATATTTCTACACCCTTTTGATCATGGAGATCAAATCAGTGTTACCCTTACTGGAGAAGTAGTGAAAGTAGTGAGATGGGGGTTTGTAACGATGATGGCTTGTTTGTAGTGAGATGGGGGTTTGTAACAAGGATTTCAAGATTTTTAGGGTTCTTGAAAGAATTTGATATTATGACAGGTTTGTGGCAATGATTTTTTTTGTCATCTGTGTGAAAAAAATGAGATTATATAATAGAAATTAGAACAATGATATGGACTTTGAATGTGCAATTGGGTCTCCAACAACCACAAGCAATAATGCAGATTTTTATTCGTTCCAAGGTAAATCGAAGTGACTTAAGTGCAATTTTGAAGTTGAAATGGGAAAACAAAATGTATCAGACATCGAGAACAAACTCCTGTCCAAAAATGGGCTCAATTGGATAAACGGTGAATTAGTTATGAATTTTTGAAGTTTCGCCTCAAACAAACTTATTTTGGGCTCCAGTGTCAACTCTGACACGTTATTCAATAAAAAACTGGTATTGATCGGAGCTGAAATCGGTCTCGACTTTGGAAGAAAAGTTGTAGATCTTTTAGTAAGTGACCTTGTGTAAGAAGATGGGCCCGATCCAATAAAA